AAAAAGTCATTAACTAAGAGAACATAAAACAAAGGAGCAGCAGCCCAGAATTCCTGCACTGCCCGATGTTCAAGGTGGAACAAAAGTGAAAAACTTTCGAAGGTTGTATTCAGAGGAGCCATTTTTGAATGAATCCTCTGTGTGACATGGGAAAAGGCTATGTGTAACAAAGTCCCCAGCATTTGCTTACTCCTAGAGTAGGTGGGCAGTTTTGTTCTGTGCAAACCATTCATCTTTCCTCAAGAGAGATCACAGCCGAAGCTGTATTTCTGCCAGGTGACTCCTGCAACCTACTTGTGGTTTTGTTGTGATACTTGCAGAATCCAGCATCTGGCCTGACATGTAGAGTGAGCTCCTTCTACTGTGCCTGTTCTCTGTTGGCTGTCAACTGTGTTTTGGCAGGACGTCGAATGAAAGGAAACCACTGGTTATCAAACCCACGTGGCTTGTTTTGCAGTGTTGTGTAGAGCAAGTGATTTGAAGCCAACTGCAGATTCCCCTCGGAGATTTTCAACTGCTATGGAAATTTTTTCTAGTGCAAACTGGCAGTGTAGCCAGCTATTGTAACAGTAGCCCTCCAAAAATTATTCTGGAAGTAGAGCACAGCAGTGGACATTTGGTAGTACGTGTAATAAAATGCTATAAGCTCCATTTTGCAAGTCAGCCACGATGACATAGCTGTGTATCATGTTTTGACTCAGCAGAACTGAAAAGATGGCTAGTGGGAGGTACGCAGCAATGGCCTCTGCCAGGAAGCTCCTTAGGGATGGGTGGTTTTTTGCAGTGCTACGCTGACAAGGATAAGCACTGGAATTCCTAAATTCCCGGAGGAGTAATTTCTCTCAATGAGCACGTATGGAAAGCTGATGAGTTTGCCTGCCATACTGCTCTGTTTTTTGAACACTTCTTGTGGTAAATTTCCAGTATAGTATTAACACAAACCCACCAAAAATCCCGCTGGCTAAGGGTAATGTACCCTTCGGGGAACGTCTCTAATGCTGTCGTATTCCACGCTTAATCCACAGGTAAAGATCTAAGTGCGAAGTCGGCTATTCTCATCTACTGTTTAACTTGCAAGAGTATATTGAGAAGCCCTCATTCCTCAATTCAGCACTAGTTTAACACGTTACTGTTTTTTGTTGTGTTTCCTAGGAGCCAACATCTTTCTTACCTCATCTGGACTGATTAAACTGGGAGACTTTGGCTGCTCGGTGAAACTTAAGAACAACACCCAGACAATGCCTGGAGAAGTGAACAGTACTTTGGGGACTGCAGGTGAGGCAGCATGGGCTAGGCAGATGCTTGCCTAGTTACCATAAAAGAAGATACCTCTGCCACAAGTCTGGGCTGGAGTAAAATGGTGTTTCAGGGGAAGGGGCTCTTACCGTAGCTAGTTATACACGCTTTACGTCCAGATGCCAGAACAATCAGTGAATGATGTAACAGGAGAGAGAAAGCTGTATTTGCCTGGTAACTCTGAACATGCTGGACCTTTCTGAGGTTGTACCTTTCTCTGCAGCCTTACTGAAACAGTACTGTTCTTACAGAAAAGTTGCTTAATCCATAAAAAAAAAAAAAAAAAAAAATAACTGGAAGGATGTACTGTATCAGCATTTTCACTGTCACTTTTCAAACTGGAAGACAGTGTCAAAACCAAGAAGCCAGCAAATGACAACACCTAACAAGAAAAGCTGAGTGTTAATTCATTACAGATATATTAAAAACCATTTAGTTTGCCCTATTAATCACTTAATGTATTCTGTTCTTTCTGCTGGTATGAACTGATGACATCATACGTGTTGTTCCAAAGCATACATGGCTCCAGAAGTAATTACCAGAGCTAAAGGAGAAGGGCACGGACGCGCAGCAGACATCTGGAGCCTGGGCTGTGTTGTTATAGAGATGGTGACCGGCAAGGTAGGGATGTTTGCTGTACTGAATGAGGGCAAACTGTTCTTAGCAGTTTCTCTGCAAATTCTGGTGCCGCTCCCAGCAATTTGTCACACTTAAGTCTGCAAGAACTGGGGTGGGTTTTAATTTCCTGGGGCACAGAAATACATGCTCTGTGGCATAGCAAGTTCCTCACTGAACCTTGCACTTAGCAATGCCCTTACCTGTTGCAGAGGCCTTGGCATGAATATGAGCACAACTTCCAGATCATGTATAAAGTGGGGATGGGTCATAAACCTCCTATTCCTGACAAAGTGAGCCCCGAAGGGAAGGACTTCCTTTGCCACTGCCTGGAAAGTGACCCAAAGATGAGGTGGACGGCCAGCCAGCTCCTCGATCATCCATTTGTCAAGGTTTGTCTCATGGCTTTGGCTACGAAGGATGTAGGTGGGACTTGGAAACAGCATTTATAGTTGGTTTCATCGTTTGCAGCTTTGCTGCAGGGCTTTGTATCCCGGTGGGAGGCTGCTGTCAAGCTGATGCTGTCCAGAAAACAAAGTTTAGTAACTTTTCTGAAGCACGTGTGATGTTGCTAGCATACATTTAACTAAAAGAACCTGGTGTGCACCATGCAATAAACTTTCACAGCTGTTTTGAAATGCATTATCTTTATGTAAAAAATTATATTATCTTTATGTAAAAAAGACTCGCTAAACTTCAACTCAGTGGTAGTTAACTGGATCTGAAGGGATCTGTGCCTAAAGCTTCGGCAAGTACATATGCAGAGACTTCTGTAGTATAGGGTTCCCTCCATAAAAAGTGAAACAAGCATGTGTCTGCAAACTCCACCATCATTCAGTGCAGGGTTCTGCTTTTCTCTGAACTTCATACTTCACATTAAGTTCATATTGAATGTGTATGTGGCAACTGGCGTAACCATCTGCAGTTCTTGCACAAACTATGGTTTGATTCTTTGGGTTAGAATAGGAAAATATTCACAGCTACAAATGTAGGTGTATTAGTAACTTCTTTTTTGAAGAAATAGGAGCAGAGTAGGTTACTGAATTCTGTCCCATTTCCCAGCAGGAGGTTGTTCACTTTGGTGTTGTGGGCCAGTAACTGTGTCTGGGCCCATCGTACCCACCCCTCTCGTCCGTGCAGCTGCAGCCACGTCCCACCCCTCGCAGAGGCAGAACGCTGCTTCGGGCACCCGAGTTGCGTGGTGACAGTGGCAGTGGCAGCGTTCACATACAAACACCTGTCACTCCTTATCTGTCTAACAAGGGAGAAAGAAAGAAGAAAGCTTCAGAGGTGTTCAGTGAAGGTGCAAAAGCAGCTTAGCGGTTGTCATCTTCTTGCTGCAGCAGGGAGACAACTGAATTAATTGCCTTTTGTCCACAGGTTTGCACAGATGAAGAATGAAGTTACTCAGTCTCTGGCCTTTTTTATTCTGGCAAGATATCTTTTAATCACTACTGTATGTAATATTTACATAAAGACTGTGCTGAGAAACAGTATAAAAGTTGAACTTACGAAGACTGCACAAGTGACCAGCGTCACTTTCTCTGCTGCTCCTGTATGTTTTACTTGGCACATGTTGCTCACGTGACAGTGTCTGCAAGTTGGAAGAAGCTGCATGTTTCAGTGAAAGTGCCATTACTACTGTATATGGACCATACCTTTTTTGTTCTTTCTCCTGTTTCTCATTTGATTGAGAACTGTAATGTTAATATGTAGTATTTTTGAACTCTTTAGGTTCAGAAAAAATGCTGTAGTGTTACCAGGCGTTATGGACCTTGTTTTTTAAACTGTCTGTTGAGTGCACTGACTGTGAACTTTTACTGTTTTTTTTGTTTATTTGTTTTTGGCAAGCTTCAGATTTGTTATGCACAAGGCTGATTAATGAAATTTTAAAAAAGTTTTTTCTCAATAAATGGTTTATTTTAGGAGTCGTTTGTGAACGGTTTTTCTTCTGAAAATACGTGTGGGATTCTGTCACATTTTAAACTTTTTTCAATGCTTGTTTAAGACTGCTAAGCTAACTTAACTGAAATAAGCTTCTCTTATATTGGAATTGTCAATGTTTGTCAAGTTCAAGATGGGCAGTGTCAGGCGTTTCTTACACAAGTGATAATAGAATTAAGGTCGCCCCCTTCATCCTCTCCTGAGGAAATAAGTGATGTGCAATTCCTGACACTGCCTACTATATCAGGGATGGAGTCATGGTCTGAAGTAATGAACACAGAGTGGCCTGCATGCCATTTCTGTGGCCAAGAGGAGAATCAGGTAAGATTATTCTGTCTGGCAAAACCAAGAACTTACTGTTAGCTTTTTAAAATGCATTTCTGATCCTGGACTTTGATTTCCCCACCGCCTCCTAATTGTCACCAGTCTCAGAAAAGGGACAGAGGTTAGAAGCAGTTAACAGTTAGAAGAAAGAGTCTCCAACACTTGATCTACTGAGAGTTTTGTTTGACTTGCTGTTACTAACAGATGACTTAAAACTGTTATTTGTAAACATTACTGCAAATCTACATATTCCTGTTACAGCTTTAGACCTTAAAATGGGTAACTTATAAAGCAGAGAACTGACTTCTAATATTTGGTTTTATCCTGAAGTCCTGGCTCTTCTTAATCCACATAGCCTTGGCTTGCTACAGGTGTGGGGTAGCTTTTAGCAGGTGGACGAGCTGTTGAGAAGGTATTGCAGAATCAGACATGTAAATCTAGAAAAGCACAAGCCTCATTGTGCAGGTCACCAGTGCAGTGTAGCGAGCCTATCAAAAAATAGAGTGCTGAATTTAAACCAAGACTTTCCCTTCTCTCCAGTTCTCTATTTTCATTTACGGTACGAGGGGAAGTATGTTGTCATCCTCAGCAACAGACTATGAAAGTACCTGAGGTAAAAGTCCCCCTGGCCTGCTGTGTGCTTCACTTTGTGGTGTATTGGAAGTATCTGAGCAGCCTGTGTCCTCATTTGCCTTTTTTCAGGTGCCCTTGTACACAAACAGGACCTGCAGACAGCTTTTAGGAGTCAGGATAAAGGTAAAAAGTACACTGTTACTCGTTTGTTGTTGCTGACCAAAAGAAGACTCCATTCACTGCACCTCAGCTTTTTATACTTTTTTATTTTTGTATAAACAAATGTTAAGACTACTTTTGTTAAGGCAGTTGTAGAACATACAGTTGTTGTGGGGACAGGGGGCAAACACTGCTTCCTAATGACGCATGTCATTCTGTAATACAGTGAACTGGACTAGTTTAACTTTGGCAAGTACCATTAAGCTTTCTGTCTGCCCGTGACTGCTGGAAGGGCCCGGTGGTGCAATCTGTGGGCCAGGACTTTCTAGAAGTGCTTAGGAGGACGGATCTAGGAGTGGCATGTTTGGCCCTCAGCCTATTCTAAGGGTTGGTCCCAGGGAAGTGGGTATGAAATGGTCTAAATGCTCTTTCAGAAGTATTTACATGTTTGGTGTTTTCCTCTGGGAGAAGTGGCACTGCATGCAGTTGGAGAGGAAAGGACTAAGATTCCCAAGGAATGTTAAATGTCTCCCTACCAGCACGTTAAATCAATGGCTCTCTAAAAAGGCAAAAAAAGCTCATCTCTATCACTACATGAATAGGTATTTGCTGCTCAGGACTACTCTGCCCTGCATACAGGGTTCATTCTACCACCCTGAGGAAAGCCTGCTGTACCTGCCAGGTAGGGGCTGCAGTGAAACTCTAGCTTGGAGGGAGCTCTTCTGCCTCCTGCCCCCACCCACTTGCAGAGTCCCAAAGGCGCCTTCAGGCCCGATGCATCACCCTGGGACCCTGGACCTTCAGACAATACTACAGGTTACCGTACTCGGGTTTCCACTGTTAAGACTGTTTTAGCAAATAGAGGGCGGGGCGTGTGCTTTATTTAGCAAAAGAATAGCTTTGCAAGCATGGCAGTATTTTCTGATCTCAGGCTGTATTTCATGTGTTGAAAAACTGCACTAAAGCCCAAGTTGACGTTCATGACATCATACAACCTATCCCAGAAAGCTTCAGAACCTAGGGAATGCATGTGTACACAGGACAGCTGGGGAAAAGCACCCCCAAAACTAGGCCCTCACACTCCCTGAGGCCTAGTCCTTCTTTCACATCGTACATTTTATTGCGTCTGCGCTCAAAAAACTTCTGGCCCATGCTAAAAGCTTTACTACACCTGCTCTTTAGATGCTGCTTATTAAAAAGAATAGTTTCTAGATGATCTCCTATACTGAACAGCAAATACATATTTCACAGAATGATTCATGTTCTGGTGCATTAGCCCATTTCTTATGGCCTCAGTTTTATTATAGGAAAAGAGAAATGTTTACACCAGCTGCTAGAACTAAGACTGCTCCCTTTCTTCCCTAGACACACCCAGGCTGCGGGTGCCTGGACTGGCCTGGGTTAGGCCTCTATGCAGTGAACACGTGCCAATAATCCTCAGTGCTCACCATCAGTATCTTTAGATTGAAAGAGATGGGGGATTTTTCAATCACAATGGCTGGTAGTTGGCAGTCCCCTCTTTTTCTTGTCCTTTTTTTTAAACAAGCTCTTTTTAGTGACTTGCATATCCTTAACTCCTGAAGTTTAAAAAGAAACTGAGGCTGCCCTGGAATCAGTACCAGGGATGTCAGATCAAGAGTTTTCCCAAGGAGCTCGAGTCTTGTTTTATTTAATTCAGTAAGGATGTCAAAGCAAGTCCAGCCAGCCATAAAAAACTAAGCCATACCACTGTCCTAGGTCTCTCTCCTACTGCCCCTCTTCCCTCCAGAAGAAAAGTAAAAGACAATTTAACTATTACCTCAGACTGACGGTTATGAGGCACCATGTAAACTACTTTATCAGAAAAGATAAGCAGATTGATTGGGATCACAACAGTATGGGTGTGGGGCATAACTGCTAATGCCTTGTCTTTGCATTACTTAGTTACAGCATGTCCAGTTGTTTTGTTTCTACCATTGTTAGGAAGGCCTAGAATTTTAATCAGTGTTTAAAGCTGAAAGGAATTTTATTACCTCAGTTTTTCCAATCTATAAAAGGCATTTACTCTCAAAAGAATTACAGGTTTCAGATATCCCTCTGATGTCTTGCCTGGGGAAAGATGTAACTTGGCTCTGCTCAGGCCACAAGGCCAAATTCCACTCCAGGTTATGCCCTTGCAAGGCTCTGACCTAACAAAGTGGGCCCTCAGCTGGGGTCTGGCTGAGGTTGCAAGAGGCCCATGCAGTGCACACTGTGGGAATAAGTTTTAGATGTAGCAAAACTCTACCAGCAGTTCTGCCAGTTCAGTAGAGCTGCTTCAGTCCAATACTGAAATAACCAAGCAGAGCATCTTACTGTATTTAAACATTGACAGATTATGGTGGTTAAACTGTTAATGTGTGATCTACACAACTATCAATTTTAATCATCTTGTAACAAATCTTCTGACATTTATCCATTCCTTAGAGCAAGTTAAGAATGATAAAGCCTGCACCTCTGGTTAGTTTCCAGGTAGAGTCTCATCATACAAGCACACTGGAAGTTTTTTTTTTTTAATTTCAAAACTTAAGTCATTTTTTAGGAAAACAAACCAACCAAACAAATGCAAACCTGTTGTGGAATATATACGGAGTGCATCTTTCAAGCATGTCATCCAGCCCACACCCCCCGAGAAAAATAACAGGAGCACAAATTCAGATATTCATGGCAAGTGCTCACCCTACCCTTCCTCTGATCTCATTTGAAGGACCATGATATTCACTTAAGAGTTTTCAGAAGTTGCATTTGCTCCCTTTGGATTGAAGCAGTCTCTGAAGGTACTACTTTTGTTTCTGCTTGTTGTCGTTGTTGCCATAGGTGGAGCCCTTGTTAATTTCTGTAACGCCTATCATCCATCTGACACCGACAGAAGCTGCAAAATGAATACAAATAAAAGTTAAAAGCTGCTTGCAGACAACGACTGAAGATCTGTACAGGTGTAGCATTCTGAAAGACACTAAGAGTGCTCTCAGCCTTACAGCAGCAGGGTGTTAAAGGCAACTACGGGTGCTACCCATACGTGACCTCTGAGGAAAGGCTCCCCCCTCACCCTCCACTCAAGTACTTTTGCCCACGGCATTTTAAGGAAGATCCTCAGTCCCTGGCCTCAGGCTGGGCACCTTCGGCGAAGGGGCTGCATGACCCAACACGGGTGTGAGTGGCCCAGGCCTGCCCTGCTCAGCCCTGTTAAGCCTTGGACAAGGCTGGCTGTGAAATGGGGGTGCTTCGGGGCTGCTGCTGTTACCTGGCTCCCCAGAGTCGAGTGGCAAGATGTACTAATGTACATTGACATGTACACCGGGGAGGTGGGGCAGGGGAGGGGAATGCTGCTTGCTTCCAACAGCCCCTATGCTTGGAAGAGCACCAGCAAATGTAAAGGCACTTCAGATCCTGATAAACTAAAAAATGTAAGGTGTGACATTTTTTAGCTACAGCTCATGAAACAGTCCATTATGTGAGGCCAGCATAATTTAAAAGATTTTTATAATTGATTTAGCAGTAATAATTTACCATGCATGAGATTTTTTTTTTTGTTTGTAGCACCTGAATTGACAAACAAGTTAAATGCAACTTAGTCTAAGCCCTCCCCCGCACCCCCTCACAGTTTTGTGTGTTGGTTTTTTTGTTTGGTTTGGGGCTCAGCTGCCCAAAACTTATTATTCCCCAAACTTCTGCTCAGCTACTGCACACGCATCCAGAACTGCCATGCTTCTTTCAGGCCTAAAGCTACTTGGAAGTCACAAACACCTCCCCTCTGTGCAGAATGCTTTTTCTAAAAAAAAACAAAAAACAAAACAAAACAAAAAAAACAACCACTACCCCACCCCCCCCAAAACCCAAGAAAGCCACAAACCTCCCATAAGCCTCCAAATCCCAGTTTCTTCCTGACTGATGGTAAAAAGGCACAGTGCTGTGAGATGCTATAAATGTCTCATTCCCATCAGTCTTCACCTCTTTAAAGACGACCCTGAACAATTCCTCACCAGCTAAAGGACTTCTTAAGGTCAAGTCAGAGCCTGAGATCACCAAGAGAATCCAGAGGCTTCATACCACTACCAGGCACCTGCTGCAAACAGCAGGGCTGATACAACAGCCCATGTCCTGGCTTTTGCTTTTGCTGCTCTTTAGCACAGGCCTGGGAGAGGGCTGTCAGCTGGTAACCAGTGCTGCCCTGTGCTTTACCACTTGCTCGTCCACCTGTAGCCTGGTGCTCCCACATCAACAATACTAAATCATCGCTTTTTTAAAATAGCTTCTTCTCTGAACCTGTTCTGAAGTGGAGCAGACTATCGAACAAATGTTGTAAGTAGGGCAACCTGAAAAAGCTGAATATATTATTTAAGTAAGAAGATAGGCCAGAAGGCAACTCTGCAGAGAAGGACCTGGGGTTCCTGGTAGACACCAGCATTGTGCCCTTGTGGGAAAGGAGGAGGAAGTTGCCCAGGGCTGCGTTGGGAAGAGCATTTCCAGCAGGTCAAGGCAGATGATCCTTCCTCCTGCTCAGCACCGGTGAGGCACAACTGGAGTGCTGGGTCCAGTTTGGGCTCCCTGGTACAAGAGAGACACAAATGTCCTAGAGCACGGCCAGCGAAGGCCACGGAGGTGATTAAGGGAGCGGAGGGAACATCTTTCATATGAGGAGAGGCTGAGAGACCTGGGACTGGAGAAAAGAAGCTCAGCGTGATCTTAACAATGTGCATAAACATCTGAAGGGAGGGTGTAAAAGCAGATGAAGCCAGGCTCTTCTCAGTGGTGCCCAGTGACAGGACAGAAGGGAATGGGCACAAGCTGGAACATAGGAGGTTCCCTCTGAGCATGAGAAAAAAAGGAAAGAAAGAAGAATCTTTACTGTGCTGGTGGCTGAACGCTGGCACAGGCTGGCCAGGGAAATTGTAGTCTCCATCCTTGGAGATACTCAAAACCTAAAACCTGATGAGACACAGCCCTGAGCAGCCTGCTGTAGCTGACCCTGGTCTGAGCTGGGGATTTGGCCAAGATGATCTCCAGAGGTGCCTTCCCACCTCAGCTTTTGTATTCTGTCTGATCTGCTTGGATGAAAGGCCCTGCCCATTTTGTTCTTTCAGAATACCAGCACTTGAAAATAAACCAACCGGCTACAGACGTGTGTGCTTTGTACTATGCCAGTAAATTCAGTGACAGTTTTTAGAAGCGCAAGTGGTCGCCGGATACCAGAGGGGAGCCCCCCCCGATGGGACAGGGCGATGGCTGAACAGCCAGAGGCGCGGTGGGGAAGCTGGGCTGCCCGCGGGCATTACGGCTGCCGAGGCAGCAGGAAAGCAGGGCCCCCTCTCTCTCGCAGGCAGAGCAGGAGGGGAGGTGGCTCCTAGGCAGTTCGCCGTCACTTACGCTCCGCTGTTAGTCCACAAATGTAAACGCACACCAGGGACAAGTGAAGCGTTTCACAAGTGGAAAAGAAAAAAAACATCTCTGACATTTAAATGGCGATATGCTGGGGAAGACGAGAGGAAGATCCAACATGCAGCCTGGGATCATAACATAATAATAAGCATGAAATCATTAAGACTTTAACCAGAAGGGATAGAAACAGCATCTGGAGATGGGCACAGGGCATAAATAAGAGCAGCTGTTATAGCAACCACACAGCACACTGGGGATTTCATCCAGTCTGAGGAATGCCGCTGCCTAGACAGCAAAAAATACCTAGTTCAGCAGTTCAGATTTTTTTTTTTTTTTTCCTTCTCCTTTGCTCCCTGGCAGAAGCTGCCACTGTCCTGTCCTCATTTCACCCTGCAGCCCTCAGCACCCTGGGGAAGGGGAGGTGCAAGGAGAAGGGACTGATCCTGTTTGCCAAGCCTGTGGAAGCAAAGCTGGGGTGCCTAAGGGGTTTCCCCCTGCACGCCCTCCCTCCTCACCACAACTCTCCTGGAGGCTCAGTGCATACCCTACCAGTATCATCGTGTTTAAAGATTTATTCTGCTGTTGTTTTAAATACAACTGTAGTAATGGGAACGTACAGGTTTTTTACTACAAGGACGGGGAGAAAGGGAGGTCAAGCAGGAATTGTGCCTAACTTTCATCAGCTGTAAGAGTTTGAGCCCGCTCTGAGAAAAGCAGGAGAGAGGCTATCTGCTGAGGCATGCCTGCGCTGCTCCATGGCAAACTACAGAAGGTAACTGAGCTCCTGCCGTCTTTCTGCCCATCATTACCCACCAGCCAAAAATTGCAGGAGGTTGCTGAGGACCTGCTCTGCCTGCTAGCGGGGGCTGAAGGAGGGCTGAACTAACACAAGTCAACAGAGCCAGTGATGGAATCTCTTTCCTGGAACATATTTTAGCTCCAAGAAAACCACCACCCCCACACATAGTACCACATCCCTCAGCAAAATCCTCAGAGCAGAGGATTTCCACCTTTTCTCTCACACTTCGGGATTTCTCCTCATCTGTTGCCTGGGGTTTTTACCACACAGCAAGTGCTATAAAGCAGCACAGCAGGTGGAGGTATAAAAATTTCCTACGTATAGGCTGCTGTACACCTAAGTTATATAGGTTATACACTGAAATTAAGTTTTGTACAATTAAAGCTTATGTGAACGGTAGAAATTGCCACTTAGGGCCTATCTTACACACTATAAGAGAGAAGAAACAAGCAAGTAATAAAAAATACCAGTTTTAGGCACCGGGCTGAAAGGCCAAATTGTCTGGTAGCTCCGCCAGCGGGCAGAATCCTACACACTGTTTGTATGCTCCTGCTGCTGTAAAACTTATTGTAACACTGCTGGCCTGTGTTCTCCTCACCTTCCACTTATCTCACTTCAGGTGCATCAACAGTCTGGCTGCCCAGACCACATCATGCTCTGACCCTCCTGTCCACATTCTGCACTCAGACACTGTCCAGTCACCCAGGACTCACTCACAGTTTGTACTGTGATCTCTGCAAACAGGTTATCTAAGAGCACCGTGTGCATGATACAGAACAGACATACAACAGCTCCTGCAGGGTCAAAGTTGGCTCATTACTACTACTTATGCTTTGGCTCAAGTGAAATACTTTTTTCGCCTATAACTGATACTTAACTGCTGGCTTCATGCCATAAGCCCAGATACCATCACGCTTTTAGCATTAGCCAAGTAAGAGCTACTTCTTCATTTAAAAATCAAGAGAAGCCCTCTCAACTTTTGCATACAGAACCAACAGTCCCCTTTTAACTGCTGGTGACAGCTCTATAATAAAATACTTCTAGAGCATGAAGGTTGTCCTCTTCAACACAAATTACCAAAATGTGAAAGGCAGCCTAACGCTGGGTTCTTTGGAGTCAGAAGAGATTGAGGAAGCAGGAGGAGGGGAGAAAAAAGAAGCTGCTGTCAAATGCATATCCTGACATTTGACAGACTTGCTCACTGCTTTAACACCAAAATATCAGCCCCAAGTTTTAAATAGCAGTTGTGAGCTAAGTACATAAATCTCTTGCCATGTGTCCTATGAAACTAAAGCCAGTTTTCAAAAGAGACTTTTGTCCCTCAAACTGCTTGAGCATTTATCCTCTGGAGCAGGGACTGCCTTGTATTAGTTCAAGTAATATCACAAAGGGGTCCTGGTCCCAGGCTGATAGTTAGGTAATAGCACAATGCGATGACTGTAAGTATAAATAGCTAAACTGCCTCCCAGGAAAGCAAGAGGGGATGTCTCAGCATTCTCAGTATAAAGAGGAGACTTCGATTATTTAGGGCTGAAAGTAAGCTGAACCAGCAGAGTTATATATACATTTTTCATTCCTTGGATCTGAGAGTTAGGGTCTGAGGTATTATAGTGCTTTCACTCCAGCTTGACCACTGTGAGGCACTTCTCTTATGGCTCTTTCCACCTGAACAGCCAGTTACTTACAAGCCAGTAAGTGTTTTACTGGAGAGCACAATTAGCAGACACTGTCCAAGAGACAAATGACACTCTGGAAACAAAGCAGAGGGTACCAGGCAAAAGGACCTCCAAGTTCCTCTGCTCTTTCCTATCACAGAAGGTTTATGCATCTCTTGTGCACCTATGCTAATAAAGGTAATGTTATCAGGCACTGAAATCTGCCCTTAGAAACAGCAACCTACTTACAAGGGGCTATTAGGGAGGGCAATAAGCTTCCCAAGTCTGGAGCATGAGGAGAGCTGTCAAACTGCCATATGAAAAAATAATATCCCAAATGCTACCTGTGCTGCTTCAGTTAATGAACAGAGGGAAGAGGTCTACTAGGAGCAATGTGAAAAGGCAGTTTTATCATCTGATCACAGTGGTAAATAAATCTCTCTGACTTACAGCAAAAGCTTCCTTTTACATTGTTATGCCACCAGGTACCAGTTATTGCTCACGCTGGAAGACAGCAAATACAACCCTCCCTGCTTTGCTACAAACTGGGTCTGCCAGGCAGACAGTTCCAACTGGCACCAAGAGTCACAACCCCCCAAGGTACGTTTGTGTTCATCTACTGCTACCTCCCAGCCATTGCTGAAGTCACTTGAGACCTTGCCTAAAGGTGGAGGCAGAACTACAGACTAAAATCCTGGTTGCTCCTCTGTCAGAAGACGGCTGCATCACTCCCAGGACATTCATGACAGAGACAGCCCTCAGGATAAAAAGCACCGTTTTGAGAGAACAGCCCTGCTACAGAAACTCAGCTATTGGCTACAAAAGTCAATGTGACAGCTTCAGCTGAAGTTGAGATGCTTCCACAGAACCAGACCGATGATTCCCAACCAGCAGTAACACTGCTTTTAAAGGGACACAGTAACACAGACACCGACTACGATGTACTAAAGACACTATCGCTCTTTAAGCGAGTAATGACACATCCACTTTTAAGTGACCAGGAGCTCTGCTTTTTGTTTGTTTTTACTGAAGGCTGAGCTTCCTTCCACTTCCAGAGATTCTCCTCCCTCCACAGCTTCACAGCAGCTGCTGTCTGCTAGTAAGTGACAACACCATCTTTCTTTTTGCCTGCTCATCAGCGAGAGGTGGCTGGCTGAGTCTAATCAGGCAACAGCCTCTATTCCAGGCAATGTGGTACCTTCTGCTGCACTGCAAATCCTGGCCAATTACAAGCACTTTGGGTTTGATCATCCCAGGTATTTGGAGAGAGAACAGAGCTGTTGCTAAGCGCAGGGGATCTTTCAAAGGCTGCAGAGAACCGCAACCTGCACCACCCCACAAATGCAGTGGGTATGTATGGGGCAGCAGTGCACATCGTGCAGTGGGCTGTTAATCTCACCGTTCTTAATGTGGTCCTCAGCTGTGCTTTTGCAGCCTGGGAGCTCATGCGTTCATTTTGGCAGCAGGCTGCTGCTGTAGTTCTCCGTTAGCTCCAGCGTTACAAATAACCTGAGAACAAGCCCTTTGGATTATCACTGCATTCAGAAAAGGACTCACAGCAGCTTGCTTATTAATCTTTCCTTGTGGCTAAAAGCAGAAGAAAGCTAAGTGGGGAATAAGACAGCAAGAAAAAAAAAAAAAAAAAAAAAAAAGAAAAAAGGGGCTCTTTTATGGTCCATTCTTAGTAGCAACATATACTTTTTTTTTTCCTTTATAGGTTCCTTCCCTCACTTCCTGATAGAGAGAAGATATGAACTAGTTGTCAAGGCCACTAATGGCAAGACAGTATTGGACTTAGGGTTGGGGGTGAAGGGTGTGGTGTCACTTAACTAAATTAATAAGGCCTAAATCAAGAAACATCACAGATACCACAATGCCAAGCATTAAAGCGTCCAGCTCTGATGTTAAAATCCCGAAACCCTGAATTAGGCAGTGAGGCTCCCCGTGCAGGGTACACAGGCACGAGGCGCTCTGGAATAACCTGACCAACCAGCCTGCTGAGTAGAAAAACTGAATTAAGAGGAAAATGCTGATGAAAAGATGAGAATTTTAAAAAATTTTGTGATGGCTAAACTTCAGTGCCCTGTTAGGCCATCGTTCCACAGCCCAGCACCAACCACAGACTATGTCAGCATTTCTTCCACAGGTAGAACAAACGCCCTCCTGAGTGCTACTGCCAGGGACGTAGCTTCTGCAATGCTGTCACACCCCATCCCGCCCACTGCTGTATACTCATTTTGAACTAGAGCACAGGGGAGACTGACTGACATTTCTCTGCAACTGAAGGGGATTTGAACCTCACACCTCCCGCTGCTGAGGAGCACACCCCAACCATGGTGCTCACTCTTTGTTTCCATCCTATTTGCTGGTCAGAGAAACCGGGGGGGGACCCTATTTGTGCCTTCCAACAAGCAAGGTGGGTGAAAAAGGTGCTTCTAAGTTGTAGTAATTGCTCCAAAAAAATTATTATTTCTCCAGTTCTCTTTACAAGAAGACTCCACAGCAGCTTCCACAGAGTTTGATTTGGTGGGCACTTTCTGAAAAAGAATATTGTGTGCCTACCACATCAAGCTCTTCACAGATGGGCAAAAGGACATTAGTTAATTCATCTTGATCAGACTAGCATGGGACCTGCTCAAGATTCAGACTTCTGAGAATGCAAAGAAATATTATGCATTAGGAACAACTTCCTAGGTAGAAAGCTAAGATGCACTTCTGAGACAAGAAAATGCTCTGTGTTTTCCTAGTTCCTCTGTGTTACTATTTTGGACATAGCTTTTTAAGCTAATTCTAATATCTCTGCATCCACGTTCACTCAAGAGCCAGAAGGACTGTGATGTTCTGTTTCTGTTTCAAAGGGTTTTTGCAATATACACAGACATTAAGGTGATGAAACCATGAATACATGTGATCGTCAGTACAGCAATAGGAAATATTTGCTTTATAAATATATGGCTTATTTTAGAAGGAACTTATTCTTCAAACAGGCATCCAATATGCCAGAAAAGCAAAGACACACAGATATGATGTAGTTTGTTAAACTGACCTGCTTTCTGCTTCCATAAAGGACACCAAATGAGATCTTCCTGCCTTTCTGTGGGCCAGCTCCTTGTTTTGTTTTCCTTCCTCCTCTTAAATAACATACTAGTTATGTTACTTAACTACCAGAGGAACTGTAGGGATCACCTGTGATAGTCTATGCCCTGTGCTACACAAGTCAGAGTAAATGTCCACAACAAGCTGTCCTTCAATCACAAGTTCATGGATTTCCAGTGGGTGACATACCAGACTATGATCAGATGAAAGAATTCTCAACAGAATAAATTTTCCTAGAGCGTCTTTCCTAGGCATTCAAAGTGCAACCCAGCAACACACTACACAAGAAAAGAAAGCCTTTTGTAGGCAACCCACTGGAACATTACTGTTTTGATTTCCACGGAAACAGAAAATTCTGTATGTAGCTCTTACAAAAAGTAATACAATTATACAAAAATAAACAAAAAAAATAATCTAACCTATTCCAGGCTAAAGTGGGTATCATATCAGCTGGTCTGTTGAATTCACAAGTCATGTTTATATTTAGTAAGCTTCAGTAAATCACATCTGACAGTTACCCTGTAAGTAATCTTTCTGTTTCAGAGAACTTACCCATTACAATGACAAATGCAAAACTAGCCAGTGTCAGTGATGATCCACTGTTGATCATGTTGATGAGCAGCTTGAATAAAGGATATAGTAGCAATAAGGCCCAGAAAAGCCAGTTCAAAAGCGTCCATGGTCGTCGGGGTGGTACTATAGGGACTCCTGGGTAGGTTCCTGTTCGGTAGTATTCTTCCTGGAACGCATCCTAGAAGAACAAAGGAGGGCAACAATTAAATCTCCATCTGCCAACAGAACTAGCCATTCCTGACTTTGATGTTCCACCTTCTGCAGGCTTGTAACTGCAGGGGAAGATCAAACATCAGGTCATGGCTGGAAAGCTTGTACTTTGAAGTCAAGCAACATGCAGTCAAAAAAAGAGCAGCTTACATTGATGTGTGCCTCCTTTCTTTCACCAACACACAGAAGCCTGCAAAAATGGTATGCCTGGAGAGTATAAGAAGCCCAGTAAAACAAGAAGGGTGAGGGGATGTACGCTGCTGCAGCAACGCAGAATTCACTGTTGAACCTCCTGCAAGAGCTGCAGCCACTGGCCAAATACTGCTGGTAAACCAGAGAAGTATGTGGGCTACATGTTCAGCATCAGATCCTCTGTTCCCTAATGTTTTCTCCAACCACTACCCTAAAACAGCATCCACAGCCCTGTCAGAAAAGGTGAGCAGATACCGTCTTGTCCCATACCCCAACGAACACCAGCCCCTCCTGTCTGCTTTGTTTTGTTCATCTTGCAGTCTTGTTCATCTTGTTCCCACGAAGCTTACAGAAGGAGGTTCGAGTGCTGAACCTCTCTACAGACACTTGGGCATGCAAACATTTTAGAATCTCTCACTGCTTTTGACCAAAGGACTCTCCCTTTTAATATAATATGAGGAAGATAGAGGGGTGCAGTTTGTTTTTTTTTTGTTTTGTGGTGCATTTTTTAAAGCACAGACTTGGAATTCAGTACCTTCCTCTAGAGCCCATATGGATGAACGGCATTGGCTTTAGCGATGTGATCAACCTCAGATACCAAAGTGGGTGGGGAAACCCCCCCTTCCTACTGGTTCAAAAGCAAAGATTATTAATTTATGTTATCACATAAAACTGGTTAATTAATGAAGTTAGCATTAGGTTGACATGAAAAGGAACCTCAGTTTAGTCAGAATGAAGTACTAAATTTCTTCAAAGAAAGGAATGCTTCATGATGGTTTCCAAAAATTCTGGCAAAGCCAAGATTGTCCTAATCAACCACAAGAAGATTGTTTCTACTGTGCTGTGATTTTACATTTACTTACACTCCAGCTGACGCAGACAATTCTTTACTTATTTAATGGCAACTTGAGCAATTACAGGCTGCTACCATTTTATCTGTTTCAAAGGGAACATTCATCTTTTAAGAGATTACACAGTAATTAAAGCATTGCACTCCCTTTATTGAGATTAGAAAAATTATGACTGTTTTGTGCATGCGAGCTAGATTATACTGGGATCACTGTGACCAATTAATTAGCTGTCTTCAACAAATTACACAGTGCATGAGGTTTTCTTTACAGTGCCTTGAGGATTTTGGTTTATGACTGGCTTAACACAGAGCTACTAATCATCAGTAAATTGAATGCTACCATATACAATTAGGTTTCTAAATACCAGTATTGCCCTGAAAAGGTAAGAATTTCTGACTGTTATTGGTGTCTCCATTAGGGGGCCTGTTACTACAGAGAGCAAGACAGAGTCACGTCAAACAGGCTCAGCAGTTTTCTCTTTGTTGACTCTGCACAGCGTTAGGGGCAGCAAAACCACTGACCACATCTCACCAAGAGGTTTGAGATGGGTGGAAGAAATACACAATGGGCAAGACAATGTCAGTGCCATCACCTCCACTACACATTTTACACTGTTGTGGAGAACAGCTCGTCAATTCAGTTACGATTCCTTACCCTTAAAAACACTCACACTCTGTGGGTTGATCTGTCTTCTAAGCTTCTGCAAGGGTGCCTATCATACCCGTCAACAGCTCAAACCAGCATTTAAACCCATGATGTACCTCAAAATTTCCCTCAATCACCTCGCCCACATTAAGTTCCTTTCACTCCCCTGCATACAGAGCTTGTTTTCCGTTTGTAATAAATCCCACCCACCCAGGTATCATATTTGGACATAGAAACATGATCTCTCTAATGCCCCCACCAAATCTGAGTTACTTCACACAGAGGGGTGGGTAATGCAGTGGGGGGAAATCAGGGAACATCCATCATCTTGTGAGAGGCTAACTGGATTCTTCCTCCCTGCTTCCAGCAGAGAGGTCTGACTGCAGAGGTATGCCACTGCCCCTTCACGGGGAAGCCCACAAAGAATGAGTATTCAAAAATATATCCTTTGTTCCCAAACACTAGAGTTGTGTACACTTCCCCTCTTCAGTTATGCTTTGCTAATTCCCTGGGGCATTTTGGCATGTATTTTCATGCCCTGTTTTCCATGCTTCTCTTAGAAGGGAGAAGAGGTAGAAGCTCACTTTCTTTTTAATGGAAATTAAGATTCTGAAGCAGAACTTCTATTTCAGGCGCTGAGGCTGTAAGGAGGTAAAAAAAGAAAACAAACACGCAAGGGCTAGCAGAGTTGTGACTATTATACAGAACCTCTTCAGACCAGGCACTAAGGTGCTCAACCCAGTCCTTGTTAAAGTCAAAGGGAGTCTTTCTAGCAATAGCAGTTTAAAACAAGAAAAGAAAAGAAAAGGGAAAAAAAATAAAGCAATGTAAAACCCAAATTGCACCTCTGTCATAATTTGGCATTAACAGATACAGTGCTGGTCATCTGTGGAAAGACAAAATTCACCCAAGGTGAGGAAGAAGCACGTGGACAAGGTGCTTACTGTAAGCCTGGGAAAGGAAGGAGAACAGTGTTTGGTTTAGAACAGCACAAGTGACATGGTTTATCTGGCAAGGCCCTGTTCATTGCATTTGCAGCAGTGGCTAAACCAGAAAATGAAGCGGTAAGTAGCAAGAACATAAACACACCAGCTTCCCAGAGAGCAGCATCTCAGATAGAGGACATGTAACTGAGATCAGGCAATGAAGTAAAAAACAGCAGAACGATGTTTTCTCAAAGACTCTCACTCCTTTACTAATGACAATTTAAGGAAAAAAAAAAAAAAAAAAAAGTCACATCCCTTAATGTCCACTAACTGCTGATTTCATTACTTATTCAAACAGCTTTGTGGCCCTGACCATCTCAAATGCACAGCACTCCAGCCTTGACCTCAGTACCTGTGGCACACTCCACCTACTAAATCATTCTTCTATAGCATAATTCAGCACAAGTAGGTCTTGAGAAGGTACTGCAAAATTATTAAAATTACTGAGAATAAGCAATGGCACATGCAACCATAATGCAAGAGAAAATAGGGGTTCTGGTTTTCAGTAGCATGCATACGTTGTCTTCTTTGAAACAGAAAGTGGAGTGTTACAACCAAAATAGACAAAGCAGGGGATGAGCGTGTATCTTGCAGTGAATTACTGCCCTTTGAATACAGATTTGTTACATTTCATCAAAAATATTTACCGACTCTGAACACTGAATTCATTTTTGGAAACAACACCTACATGTCATTGCTGCTTGTTATCCAACCTAAGTGCCAATTATCTTTAAAAAGACACATGGCAGAAAGGTGAAACAGAATTGCATTTTTACCATGCAGGTGGGCTTTCATCATTTCAGAAGTCTTGAAGAAGTTGTCCCCGCTCTGTATTCTCCCAGTCTGATCTTACAGAGACATGGGCTTGTGTAAACCATGAATGACTACGATGAAATAAGTTTCACTAATGTAAAAGAGCAGAAGGAAGAGGAGCGTGTCCCCCTTCAGAAAGAAAATAAACCGTCACCAAACCAGAAAATAGCCAACCTAACAGAAAATGCCACACAACCAAAAAGGTTTTAATGGAAAGGAAAATGGAACACACACTCCTTCCTCCTATACTTAAATAAGAAACTATGGGTTTAACCAGCCACCAAACTAAGTTGTTAGGAAGAAAGCAGGATAGATGCATGCTCTGTTTGCACTAGAAATAACAGAGTGTTCACTGAAGACGAAATAACAGAAAAAACTTAGTGAATTATTGCAACCTATGTAATAAGGGATTCAGGAAAACAATCGCCACATTCTCATTTGACTTATGTCCTTGTCTTGCAAATGTCTAAACAGTCCTTAGGAACATGAAAGAGAGTTACAGGTAAAGTCATAGCAGCAGAAAGTGGACTTTTGCAATGTTCAGCAAAAGGACCATTTGCATTTCTATGCCTGCAGAGACAGCACAGGCCCACGGGTAACATAATGTCTTTCTGCAGAAAGGTGTTGGGGTCATGTCTGAATTAGGCGTTAGCGGCACAGCTTCCAAGAGGGTAGATCAGAGGCAAAACTAGCAGACCTACAACTGAGGCCTCAACATGCTAACTTTTCACATTCCTGTAAGCAGTCATGGTTTGAAGACGAGAAAGACTAGGACAGAGTCAGTACAGAAATGCTAATGTGGTGTTCTGGGTGTAGTACAACAAATGGCACAGCAGCATTTTGCTGCCCCAGTGAGAGGAAACCAGAGCACAGCCATATTCTATCACTTCCAAATCCGAAGCACCGCCGTATTCCAGTCCGAATACATAACTTAGATCAATTTATTGAAGTAAACTGAGCTGCCAGGCCCTCATACCTTGTATACCCATGACTCCCACTGACTGAAATGGGAGTGCTGTATGTATTCAAAGAGCACATCCCCCAACCATTATCTCCTCTGTTGATAAAAACAGAACCCACAAGAAACAGGTTCTGAAAGTCTGAAGGACGCATATGAAAGTATTTTGAGAAAAAAAAATAAAAATCAGTGGGCATCTACAAACACAGTCATTATTATTCTGCCCTCATCCTATGTAATTAAGAATCTTAAATGCATGCCTTCTATGCACACAATGTAAAAGCAATTTATCAGCCTGTCCTATTAATGTTGGATTTTTGCCTTGGTAAAAGAGACAGCGTAAAACATGGACAAAAATTCTAATACACTAAAGCAAAATACACCTCATTTAGCCTACAAATTACTTCTTAATTTCAGAGGTGCCTTTAAGGGGAAGGAGGTCCTTCGATCAACCAGAAGGTAGTTGTATTTTTTCTATCCTCATGCAACTTTCTAAAGAAGAGTTTTAAAACTATTCCATCGAGGCTTGCTTAAGTTTTCTTCCTGTTACTATTCAAGTACAAAGTACTTGTCATGACTGACAGAACAAGACCAGTTTGTGTCTGGAGAAACAGAGCACTTATCCTGAAAAACAAACCAACCAACCCAACCACCCACCCCAGGCCCCCCAAAGCAGGACCACTACACATGCACACTGTTAAGGTCTACTAAACAGTATAAATAACTGAGCACTAGTGGGTTGCAAGTGATGTCTAGATAAAAACTCAACCTTTTCTTGATACAGTTTGTGAAGCCAGATAGAACATTCCTGCTCATCTTCTGGGACTTCCTCTAGTGGAATCCGCCTGTCAATGGTAAAAAAAGAGAAATTGAAGAACATTAAATACTTCAACTCCCATGAACAACGCTTACATTGTACAAACTGAATATCTGATAGAAGACTAACTATATTTTTCACCTTTTTTTAATTTGTGGTAACAGCTCCCAGATCAGCAAAGCATAGTTTTGTTCGAGAGCCACCTTCAGTTTTCAGATGTATCTGAAATTCTCAAATTTAGATTTCTGAAACAGTAATGCATTATGTTTGAGCTTACTAGAGCCACTTTCTAGATGAAGGTTTGCTGTTTTCTGCTTCCAAACAAAGGTTTTGAATAAAATGACTTCTTACCCCATCTATGGAGTTCAAGGCTGTGTTTAAACAGCCAGGCATTAGAGAGAAAAAACAAACTATTCTCCTTCTACCTAGGGTAAAGCATTCTAGTATTTCTCAGGTAACATTTCCAAATAATTTTGGTTACATGCAGCCTGGCTGGTTAATTTCCAGCAAAATGGCTCCTATCACTGGAAAACCCTCTCTTGACAAAAAGTTTTCATCACATTACATGAATTTTGGTCAATAATCCCATGACAGAAAAATAAATCTCCTTGTCATCCTCATTTACGTCTGCTAATAGCAATATTTAATAATTTTAAAATTTTCAATATAGCATGTATTTTAATTAATATCCATTAAGAGCAACATCAAATTAACTTCCTTCAGCACAGGAGAGAGCACTTTTCAGAGTCAGGACATTCCTGTTTGCAGTTACTAAATTAAGAAGGGCAACACAACTGGTTCATTCTTTTATTTAAAAAAGTCATAAGATGACAAACATTAGAACTCAACATGACTTAAGCAGAGACAAACAAGGCCATCCAAATTTTACAAACTTCTACTGAGTGCAACACCTACAGCACTTCAATAAGCAAATATGGAGGACTCTGAAGAACATCCGTGATGGTCCCCAATTAATGGCCAAAACAAATTCTGCCATGAGGTTTACCCTGCCTGTAGCAGCTTTTCAGGAAGCTCAGAAAGACAGAGGGGCAAATAGCTGGCCCAAGTCACAGAAAGCAATTTCCACGCTCTGCCAGATTGACTTGCAGCAGGCTGGAAGGGTGTAAAGGGAGACACAGCAAGATTCACACCACTACATTGTTGGAGGAATGGCCCACACAGGTGGGGCCAGCTGCTCCTCCACAAACACTAGCCAGCCAGGCCAGGTACACCAAACACAAGGACACTAGGCTGAGCCACCAATGAGAGCCAAGTGGGAATGCAAACTCCTGTTGCATCCACAAGGAATCAGGAGTTTCTTCTTACCCTCAGGCAAAAACAGTTCTGAAGAAAGTGTTTTTTCAAACAGGCAGAAGAGGGGAGGTCAGAAGAAAAGGTGACCCTATTTCATGTCAGCACCCAAGATAAACCAGCTGGACCAGCCAATCATAGCTATAAAGGGATCCTGATGAACTCCTCATCACTTGTGGGATCACTTCTAGGCTCCTATGTTCGAACCCTAAATCATCACATATCCTGAGTGCCTGCAGCATGGGTGCTGCTGGTAGAACCTGGCATCGGAATAAGGGCCTTGAAATGGGCCCATTCCCATTACAGTTATGGGAAGCCATTGGGGTATTCATCACTTACAGAAACATTAATGATACAGAATCCAGGTGGTTGTTTTTTTCATTAAACAACCCCCTTCTTGTTAGGGAAAGAGTGGCAGTCAAATATATCAACAACTATACCAAACAGGGATGGGAACAGCCCTGAGCCTGGCCTCCGCCTGAGTGGGAGCTACTGTGCCAGTGACAGCTGTAAAGCCACTCCATCTAAACACTGAGTGAGTTTATGTTTGGTATTCTGGCCAAATGCATGAGAAGAGGCCCCACTGTTGCTGCTGCACTGACAAACAGACACACAAATTAATAAAAAAATAACAAACAAAAAATCCTGTAGACCTTTGTAGGGTCTCCAGACATCTATAGTCACAGAACCTTACCAGAAACCTTTCCCATCACATGAGTTTCTATCTTCAATTCTGTGAAGCCAGGTTAATAGAGATTTGCTATCCATTACCTGCTTGAAAATGTTTCCTTATTTCCACAATTGTGATTGCAAGTGCACATTCCTGTATGCCAAAAAGGAATTAAAGTATCAATTACTTGCCTTACATATAAATCTGCATGATATTTTTTTCCATTTAGAACTCCCAGCAACGTTGGATTCTCATTATTTCTAAAATTGAGGGTAGAATCATAGACTGCAGAAACTACAAGAAGAGAAACAGGTTATGTGATTACTGTAGTAACAGAATGGAAATAAATCATTCTCTCTCAGACAAGGAGCATATTTAAATATGAAGTCAGCAGCAATAGCACCGTAGTTTGAGCTATCGCCAGATTAGAGATGACAATGGAATATTCAACGTGCAGGTTTTAAGAAGCCAAGTAACCAATGATCCTTTGTCCTGTTTGGGGCTGGCCTAGAGTTCCCGTTGGTCTGGTAGCGGGAGGAGCTGCAGCCCCCTGAGACCCCAGGGGCTCCCCAGGGCCCAGTGCCCTCACCTGTGTGCGGGGGCGGGGGGAGCACAGCTGGAGGGCTGGGCCCCGATTGGCCGATAGTCCATGTCATGTGACCTTGTGCTCACTATATAAAGGCAGGAGTGGGCTGGGAGGGGCTCTCACTTCCGGGGGTGTGGCTGTGGGGCCTTGGTGTTTGGGAGCACCGGCCGGGAGGTGAGCAGCTGTATTGTACATTACCCGCTGATACTGCTGTCAGCGTATTGTTCTGTTACTGTTATTGAACTGTTTTTATCTCAACCCGCAAGTCTCCCTTTGCCCCTCCGATTCCCTCCCCATTCCCGAGTGGGGGGAGGGTGGGTGAGCGGCTGCGGGGCGTTTAGCTGCTGACCAGGCTCAAACCACGACACCCTTCCAGGAACTGCACCGGTACAACAGAAGGGTTTGCTCTCCACCCGTATCTCCTTTCCCATCAGGTGCAGAATGCTGGGCATAGGGAACACAGTTACAGTTTCTGGCAGCTAATATACCTAGGACACCCTAGGAGTCAAATGACTGAGAAACTATTAGTTTTCTCAACTCACTGTGAATGACACAACTCACCTCTAGATCTGGGTAAATAACCAGGCAGATATACACTTTATAAACAATGAACAATATATACAGTTTGACTAAGAATGAGTAAAGTGTGTGTGAGAGACATCCTCCAGCAAGAGAGCTTGATATAACTATGAATTGCTGGGGTTCGAAACAACCTCCCCTTCACGTCCATTATTCGGTAACTGAGGCACTTGCTATAGGGCAAAGGCAGAGACAAGAGTACCAGACCACATCCTGTGTGAGCTGGGCTGCTGCTACGAGGACATGCGGCTGTGAGGAGCAGAACATCCAGGTTTGACAGAACAAAACTGGCAGCCATGCTTTCAGCCTCCAGAAAACACTCTTTCTTCAGTTCATGACTGCACAGTAACAGTAAAAGTATTTGCAAAGGTTGTTCATGGTTAAACTAAGACAGCATTAACAAGCAGTTTCTGCAGAAAGAGTATTTGCCTTTTTAAACCACATAAAGCATTTCAGAAAAGTTTCTTTGAACACATCCTTAGAGACACTGGTTTCCTGATGTCACAAAATTACCAGAGAGCAATTAATCTTCCTGACACTGAAACCAATTGTGCATCATGGTACAATTTCTAAGATCAATGCCAGCAACAAAACTTTTTTTGTTTGTTTGTTTTGTTTTGTTTTTTTCTTTTGTTTGTCAGAGAAGTGACTAACATACACTTCACATGTAGCTTGTTGCATTTTAGGTTTTCTGCTCCAGTGTTTTGAAATAATGAACACTGTGATGAACCTCTATTGTGACAGCTCTTGACCCACCTAAGAAAGCCTTTCATTACACAGAAGAGATTTCCTTTTGGTTTTGAAGCCTCTCGAGCTATGAGAGATAAATACAGCTTCGTCACAACATTCAGTCCCCAGAAACTCACCACAACATTCGTTACTGCAAAACAGAATTAATAGCACACAACAGAACAGCCTGGCTTCAGCACTGCAAAGAAATCCTGGAAACAGAGGCTAAAACCCTGTCACTGCATTCAGACTGTATCCCTCATCAACAACTCTACTCTTTTCCTACTACAGTTGTGTTTTTAGCCCAAACTCAAAACTACAACACATAAGCCAAAATCTACTTCAGGCACACTACTCTCCCTGTACAACATAAGTAGGAAATTACGTTTTTTGAACAAATTATCTACCTCCATTTTTAAGCTTCTTAGTGAAGAAGGATTTTACTAATCCACTCTAAATTACTAATCCAATGTAATTGAAGAAAGACAAGAGCTCAATTTGGTTTATACAGGGTAAGCTTCTTAGTTTATTCTTTAATAGCATGATATTATTTTAACGACAATAGGGACGCAATAAAGAAAAGTATGATATACACAGCACTTGTCCTTTCATCTTTTAGATGATGTCTACATTTGAGTTTTGATATGAATTGGGTGCTTGTTCAGACACATTGGAAGATGCTTCTCCCGCTCTGAAAAAACTACTGCAGAGCTGGTCAGGAACATCTTTATGTGCTGATGGCCGTAGACAGAGTTTTCCTTCACTTCAGGGAAAAAATATCCCATTTTGGTTTGTAGCTGGTCTATAGTTTGATATTCTGTCCACACACTGAAATCTTTTGGTGTGAAGCAGTGCCAAATCCAAGACAATGATAACATATACAGGAGTAAAGAGACCTCTTATATCCAGATATAAAATATCTGAAGACTTAAGCTTTTCCTTTTTGAAAGTTCAGGAAGAGAACAACAGCAGAAGTATCAAATAAAAAGACCGCATGTAATTAAAATTTGCCAGAGAGAGCTTCCACAGCCAAAGCAGCACTAGCATGCTGTATGACACGCTGGAATTGTTGTTCATTAAACACGTATTTCATAATTACATAATTAGGACTGGACATCTCATGACTGTATCATCCAAAAACTGAAGAGTCGAGAAATTTCACGTTCTAAACCAAGTAAAAAAAAATAACTTCACAGTATCTTGAACATCTTGCAACTGTCTCACTCTCAGACTAATTTAGGATGCATTTGAGAAGTTTTGCTTCAATTGTGAAAGAAAACATTTTCTCAAAGAAATTATCTTGAAACATCTTTTTCATTAAAAACTCAAACACAATTCAATATTTGGAAGCCTTTTCAAAGGTTCAGCACATATCATAACTGAAAACAGAATTTTTCTAGCTGAATTGCTATTTTCTGACAAAAAAAGGCTATTTTTTTTGTTTTGTTTTCTAATCTCTGCCCAGCTTGAATTAATATCTTTAACTTTTATTTCCCTGTACAGCATTCTGACAGAGAGATACGTACTTAAGAATTTAAGTTCTTAATTTCAACATAAGAAATCTTTGGATTAAATATTTAGAGAGGATTTTTCAACTGTCCTCTTGAATTCCATGCATTATTTTGTGGCCATGGCGGATTATGCCAGAATGACCATCCAACAAATCAACCTACAGGCAGTGAGCACACCTACATATAACTTCATACTAGCACACACTGATCTGAAGTGAAAACTGGGAAAGGGAGGGGAAGGGATGGTGGAATTCACTGTGCTGCTGGTATGACAGCCATCTTGACACAATCCTTTGATTAAACATTTAATTGCTCTGGTCATCTGGGTCAAAAATCACTTATCCTCTCAAACTTGGTAGCCTGCTCAGGAGGATGACCAGAAGCCTCACCAAACACTGAAGAAAATCCAGGACTTTAAAAGTGCAGCTCATGGGAAAAAAAGTCATTGCGAAACCTCCAAACATTGTCATACTGAACTCCAGTAGAATGTCACCCTGAAATTTATTCGCATGCATTCCCTTTAAGACAATAGTTCCCAGAATGCACAATTGGAGGAAAAGGTTGACAACTTAAGAGTTATCTACAATCATGAGACACATTTTTAAATACAAGTCTTAACTAAATAAAATCAGCTGAAAGGAACTGCTTGATATACAGCCAGGCAATAAAAGTAACAGTTAAATATATCTTTTGCAATATTTATGACGCTTATTTTTCCTGTAAGTAATGGATGAGTGTTTTATAAACAGACTTGTATTTTTCATTTGCTTCCATGAGCAGTATAGGTAGTAAACTCTACAGCCTAACAGCAATTTATTAAGACAGCAACAAGCTTCTAGAAATTAAGTTCCTGGGGACTGCATCTGTACTACCAAACTGGTAGAGACAGCCACTGATAAAAGTATCAAGACAAGTTCAAAAAAAATATTAAAAGCACCCCTCTAAGAACCAAACTGTGTACAGATATATGAATTTGTGAAAGCAAGTCTCTGAAGAGAAAATAATTCCAGTATCACTTATGAAGGAAGTGAGTTAGGAAAGTTCTTATTTGTTATTTTGTATGGAAGATATTTTTATCCAAATGTATCTGCTTATGCTGACAGATATGGCACCACTGGTACAGAGGCAGTTTCCCATGTATGCGCATTAAATAAACTCCTCCTGAAGCTAAGCTTTTCAAAAGATGGACTTGCCAGATTCATGTCACCAATGCCTGTTTCCAACAGTCTAGGAACTACTGCGCCAGCTAGCATTAAGAGTTGTCACAAAGTTTTGAAATGGACCAAGGTGCGATGACAGCCACGAAAGTGTCATCCACCCATCCTAAAGTGCTACAGCCTCAGATAGGCTGAATCACATCCTTGTCAGAAAGGAGGAACGAAGAATAGAGGAAAAGGAAACGCTGACACCCGTCACACCCAGCTTGGAACTGGACCCAAACACTCGGCTTGCCTTCACCGCTATGTCATGCTGCAGCTGTCCCCCTTAGCAGGGCACTCCAGCCAGGCCCACCACCCCTTGAGGAAGAGCAGAACATGTGTTAGCCTAAGTGGCAGGCCCCAAAATAGACTCAGGCAGCTCAGCACCAGTCTCTCACTTTCAGACTTGCAGGGATACCCCTCTGCAGACTTGGCCACCGAAGCAGCTGCGAAGCGTACGACAAAAGACAGGTCTGCCTGCAAGAGTCATGTGAGATGCCAGTGAACAGAAGTTATGAACATCTGCATGGTGCCACTGCTGCTTCTGCAGACAGAGCAGCAATTCAGCCGTCACACTGATGCTGTTTGGAACAAGTAATCTGAGGCTGTAATGAAGGGATACATTCACTTGCTGGGCCACATTGTAAGGCAGAGCATAACAATGAGACTCAGGGGATTTACAGTGAGAGTCAAGTAGTACTATTTACCAATGTAAATACTCAAACAAAAAAAAAAAAAGCCCAAATTTCTACAGCATATAGTCTCTGCATATATTGACACCTACAACATGTTATTGCTTATAACATGGGTACCAAATGTCAGTGAAGGTTAGCAGAGAAGTGGTCAAATCCTATCAGTGTTCACGTAAAAAAAAAAAAATTTCTAGATAGAACTTACATTTATAGATTATGGACTGTCAAAACAGACTTCCATCACATTCTCTATTGAAAAAACATTAATGGACTTCCTTGTTACCTGTACATAATGTTATAAGGAATTCTAAAAATTAGATACTGTTTACAAAGGTCTTTCAAATGCTCTTTACATGTACCCCCTGTCTCTATAGAAGAGAAACCTATAGTAACCCAGACAGTAACTCTTATTAACTCCCCCTCATTGCAAAAAGTGATAAGACAAGTAACATACCCAGAAGAATCTGCAACACCAATCTGGAGTCATCAGCTGTTTTCCACAGAGGTTTGTTGGGTTTTTAAGCTATACAGTTCCAACAAAAACTACCTACAGGAAGTTATGACTCTCTGTGCTTCTCCTTGAACCCTCACAGGGAAATATCACCTTCTTACTAGCTTTACCCTGTTTGAACTATCAAGTCACAGCTTCTGGATTGAGGTAGTCACATACACTTCCTTAAGTATATAAGTAGTCTAGCAATCTCAGTCTTGTTTTTCTGAAGGCATTTCAAATATTTAGGATCCTAAGAAGTGTTACTGTAGTGTACCACATGAATGTCCAAACCATTTTATAAATGCCACTTGAGTGCCCTAAAATTGTTTCCTTTTGAAACATTTTCCCAGAAATCAGCTACCTGTCCACAATCATATCATGTCTTGTTTGCTTCACACAGAGTAGTGAAAATAACAAAATCACCACCAAACTAACCTGTCCCAGATCAGGGCATTGGAGGTCACAGAGTTCTAACTCAGCTCTTCTTCAGTGCCTCAAGTCTACCCCTCCCCCCTCCCCCATTGTCAAAACAGTCACTCATATTCAAAAGGGAAAAATTAAACTGTGCCCTTAAGGGAGTTGATGTAAGTTACGTGCAGTATCCAGCTTCTTCCCATATCAGAAAAGATCCGAGCTATGCTATCCATTTTGGGGGTGGGAAGCCGTGGATGCCTGACAAGCTGCAACAATGATATCATCTACCTGACTTGTAAGAGGATATGTAGAAGGAACATGACAGATAGCAAGACAGCTGACTGCAAAGCTTTTTTTACAGCAGCTATCCCAGATATGCCACATGAAAACATGTCTTCAAAGACAAAAGAAGTTTTGGCATTAACTTCAGCCAAGCTAGAACATTTTCTTCTAAACCACTAATCACTTTGTCTTTCTTACATATCAACCTTCTAACAACACACAAATCTACCAAACCCCAAAGATGCTGTAGCACTATGGCTACTTAGCACTGTCTTTCCTTTGCCCATGAAGTACAGGACAGGAGACTTTGATGGATTGTATTAGTCAAAAATCACTTCAAAGGCATGTGTCCCATATTCTTACTGATGTCCCTTCAAATTTGGCAAATGCAAATAACCAAAAATAACTGGGGGGTGGGGAGTTAAGAACAACATTAACAAAGAAATACATGTTCTGTAATGTAGAAATAATTTATTTATAAATTTCACCTACACGTATCTTCAGTCAAGGTCTACTTCCATTCCTCAGCTCCACAAAGAAACTCTAAAAAGTAAATCTATATAGAAATTTAAAGCAGAATATTTTTCTGACTTAAAAAGGGTGTTATTCGAGGCAGATATTTACCACAAGAAAATATTTAAGACACACTGCCTCAGATTCTCTAGTGATCTATTTGCTTCATCTAAAATAGGATTGTTTAGTGAATACTAAGAAATATTATTCTTTGGCCATAGGTATGAAACATGCAACTTGAGATCCCCCAATTGACTCACACTAACAGAAAACAAAACAAACAAAAAAAAATAACCATGTTGCCCCAGGACTTTGTTAGCAAACCCTAATCTTAATTTTCACAGGCTAGTGGAAGAAAGGTCAGAAAAGATCCCACGGCTTTTCTGCTAAGACACGTGTTACAGGGAAAAGAAGAGCATGGCAAAGTGACAGCAGTTAGATGAAATAAACATTTAGCATTGTTCCTTGTGACTTTCCTTACCTACATTTCTCAAACACTGCACGGTGACAGCAAATCCTTTCGTTCGTGGCAGCAGGTGATACCTGAGCTTGGGCAGGCCCTTGGCTTCAGCTACCTGCATGCTAATCTGGTGCTTCTGTTCTGTAAACCTTGTGCCCTCGCAATGAATCAGGAACTAAAACCAAGAGAGAACTACAGTTAGACAGCAGGCTCAAGTTTTCTACATCTGTCTGACCAAAAGGCTCTCTAATTCCCACCAATACAGCCCAAATGAACACTGCTAGCAGGGACACGTGTAGCCACATACACATTGAGGTAATATAATTGCCCTAGAGTAAAAAAAAAAAAAAATAAAAAAAATAAAAGGAACACACACATACACACAAAACACCAAACAAAACATCAAACAAAACAAAAAACCCAAACCAAACAAACAAAACCAAACCCTCTCAATTACCCCCACACATCCAACTTACCATCCTCTGGTTTGAACTCTAGCCTTTAGGCTTTAATATCTCCTCTGCTACTTGCTATCAGAATGACTTGATTTCTCTAAACGAGTCAATCTCTAACAAGATGTTAAAACACACTCAAAACACCTCCTGTTGCAAAGCTCTCACAGGTGGCAAGTTCTCCAAGTGTCATGGTATCTAAAACTTGGATAAGTGTCTAAACCAAACGCATTTCTAGGAAATGCTTCAGTGCCCAGCTTGCTTCCCCTCACTCCAACCCACTTGCTTTTGCGATGGCATGAGGACTGTGGACAACTTCAGACAGTAACTGATGCCAATAACTGGGCCAATAACATGTAAGACAGTAGATGCAAAACAACGGAAAGCCTCATCCCTTTATGAACTATACACTGAAAGGGCTCAGACACGAACGATTACAATTTTGCCACTGGCAGGTAGGGGAGAGCAGACAGATCTTTGGAGATTTACCACTTACCCATCTGCTTCCTGACAAGCCTGAATGCAAGCTAACACATCAGAAAGCACTGACAAATTGCACGAGCTAAGTCCTCATAACCCACAGCAAAAATTTAGCCAACAAAGATAGGGAGACTGAAGAAAACTAGCCAAGCAGCCATCTTCTGTTCCTGCTCATCTAAGAGCTCTTCTACTCATGTATCACATGCATAATGTTAAACAGTTAGACGAAACATAGAAACTGATGAGAAAAATCCTTCCAGCCCACTTAGCATCCCGTCTTCCTACCTTCCAAGGTGCTACTGCTGTGCCTTTTGACATTATGTCACCATACAAAGGCAAATTAAAACTCCACACTACAATAACCCCAGGTGTACATCAAAAACTGCATCTCCCTTACTACAAGTATAGCTCCTTTTTAGTAATCCCTCTATAGCAGTATATAAAGGATGGTGGTGGTCTGTGCCCACCAATTAGAGCTAGACTGCCTAGGCGTACAGAAAGGCAGTCAACACTTTTAAAGAGTTACAGAGCACACGCAAATCCCTGAGAGACTAGAATTAGAACCCAAGAATTGTCCCTTTGCTACACAGCCTCCTTCCTGGATGTCATTTAATCATTATCCAAGCACAGAGCTTAGTTTCGATAGCTTACCACTCATTTAAATCAATGACAATTAAAAAAAAAAAAAAAAAACAAAAAACAAAAAACACATCACCACATGCATCTGTTACACTGCCATGAATCCCTTCATCTACCCCACTCCAGCTCTTGTATTTAGCAGACCATAAAGTTTATTAAATGGATCACAGTGCAGGTAATTTTGCCATTAACATCTGTAGGGCTCCATACTACAGAGGAAGAAAACAGGCAAGACAGACCATTACATGGGAAATTTAAGAGGGAATTCAATTCTTGGAGAATACCCTCCTGATACTGCCAGGAAGCTCATGAATCAAAATTCTCAGGGGCAACCTGGCAGCTACCACACAGTGTCTATGCCCTTCACCCCCTCCCAAGCACTACAGCACCTCGCGCTCCACTTCTTAGTCATCACTCACCCAAAAGTTTTCAGGGTAGTCCCGGAGATTCAGCAACTTCTGCATGACTGTTTTCCGATCTTCCTCCCACTTACGCTTGCAGAAGACTATCTCTAGGAAATACCACATCCAGCCAATGATAGGCATGTAGGAGAGCTCCTTCTTTGCAAGCACTTTGGAACTCTGCAAGACAGAGTCAAAGCAAGCAAAACAGTTATACCACTTAGAGTTCTCTGTGGGTATGACACATGCACAGTTAGACACTAATACATTGATTCATATTGAATATCCCCTGTTTTTAACACCAGTGTAAAAGCAAAACAAAGAAAAATAAGTTTTTCTCATACCACAGAAGAGTCAGATCTAATCTCAGATATCTGAATGAAAGAAGACTTCCAGAATTAAATGGGGTGTGGGTGGCTGGGGGGTGTGGGAGTGTGTGGGTGTCTATCCTATCCAAACCCTGAAACGCCAAACTCACTCCTTCAAACACTGAGGAATCCATGCAAAAGATCCAAACCAAATAAAATGGAATTCTTAATTCAATCAGACCCTGAACAGCAGCAATTCAAGCTCCTTTAAGATATCTTGCAGCTATACTTCTCCCCAAAGCTAGGACATCTCACCATGCCCCCAAAAAAACCCATTCTGAATGAGCAGTAGTCACACAGTCATTGTTGCACAACAATATATTGATGCATATACATGATTTACCACTGGAACAAACCTTAAACAACACTAGAAACAACAGCAGCAATAAAACCACTTTATTTGTGTTTAGGTATATGGAAGGGCAGAAATACACTAGTGAACTTCTCTTCAAAGCATGCATTTGGAGTAAAAAAAATAATAATAATAAAAAAGTACTGTTCCTGTCCAATTCCTATCCATGATATCACTATAAGCCACCCCAACAAAGTGCTCTGCAGATGGGTCCCAGGACAACACATTTGACTAGCAGGAGTTATTTAATGATAGAGATTACAATCAACAGGAATTATCTAATTTTTTGGTCAGTGCTGTTCATTTGGTTACTAGGGGAATAGACCTGACCTAATTCTTTATCTCAGCTCATTTCTCTCATCTGCTCTCCTTCCTTGAGAAGGAAAATAGCTTAAATAATTAAGCTATCTAAAAGCTCCTAAGACTGGAAGGCAAGTGCACATCACATAGCTTCAGCAGCAACTGTTACACAGAAGCGGAGCAGAAGAGGACGTCAGACAATTCCATTTCTAAGAACACAGGAACCATCTCTGTAAGATGACTTAACACTGTATTAAAATGCTTCCTCCTGATCACTCAAGAATTTCAGTGGTGGGCCCAGATCAGGACTCCAAACCCAGCTCTCCCACAAGGAGCAGCCATAGGATTAGGCATAGTTTTTGCCGTTTCAGTTTCAAGCCATGTTGGCTGTTAGCCCCTGCTGCATGGCAGCAGCAACGCTGAGCCCAGCCTCCTCTTCCAGCTCCCCAAACTGGCCACAGAGAAATAGGCTCTCCTCTCATCCCTTACCTTAGCTCTCCAATTTTCCCACACTATTGTCTTTCCTTTTCTCAGTTACTCTTAATACAAGTAATTTTCTTATTTCCAAGGCAAATGTAAATAGTTCTAGCATACAGCTTTAAAAGCCTCCAAAGAGCATTTTCTGTTGCAGGCCATGTACAGTATAGCTTCCATACAGAGCACATGGAGTAGTTCAGATGGTCTTCCATTCCTCTCCCCTGTACATGCCTGAGGAAGACAGCTGAGCCGAGGCTTTGTCCCAAGAAATCCCCACAGATGCAAAGTGTTTCTAGCTGACCAGGGAGGGCTAAAACCTTAGGGAACTACTGCCCACCACAGCCACAACCTGCGCAGCCATCAGCCACAGACTAGCACAAGCCACTGCACAATGAGGCCAACAGCAACAGTGTCACCCCCAAAAAATAGAAGAAAACAACATGCTCTTAAAGTTTATTTGCAGTTAAGTGTTCAATATCATAAGACCTACCATAAACAAATGTTAAGTGTGCTCCGCATAGAATGCACAAGACCTCCAGAGCACAGAGTCAGAAAATACCATCTAGTAGTCCTCCCTCCCACATTTTAAAACACAGGAATCCTAGTCCAAAAAGCAAGCAATGCTAAGTATTTCAGCATTGCTATTTTCTAATGTTTTGCATATTTTTAGAAGCGTACGAGTTAAACAAGGGGCAGGACAGAAGTTGCCATCATTTCCTCCACTCCCACCCCCGGTGAAACAAAGAAATTATGTTGTGAGCTAAGGTGTCACATAGCACAGGTATAACCACAAAAGCAGAACAGATGTTTGAATTCTTCCCCTGGGCATGTTCTTACACGTTTTCTCTGCTGACGCATTTTTAAAATTTAAAAGTGCTCTTTTAGACACGTGAGAGTACGACTCCATAGATGCACATAAAAAGAAACTAAATCACCTTACACTATTTTGTGCGCCCCTTCTATCCTAGGAGTAGAAGGAAGGCTAATGACACAAAATTCATTAGAGAATGGAAACTCCTCAGTACATTATACTGGCAAGACTGCTCTTGTGTGGGAGGAATACATTAGGCCTCCCCTCAGAAGCTACCATCTCTCTTACAATAACTAGAGCTACAATCTATTCTGTTTCAGTTGTCTACTCATGCACAGCTCCTGAGTAAATACCTGAGGGGGAAAATGCAGCTCTAGTTGACTTTGGCCACTAACATTTCCTTTACCAAAGTTCTTTGATAAATATGTGACAGCCACCTCTAACCTTCAAATTCAGCTTGTTCAAAAGAATAGATTTCATTTAAAAGTACTTATTTATTCCATGTAAGCTGCCTTCTTGAAGGAAGTCAAACATTTTCAGTGCTCAGAACAGTGTAATTCTAACAGATGTTTAATGAAATTACTACTGGATGGGGACAATTTATCTACAGTAATAGCATTTTAATCCAGATTAATTTCTTTTGACCAAGTCTTTTTGGATGGAAATACCCATGAAGTTCTCATTTTGTGAATGACTGCAAAAAAATCACATTAAAAAAAAGTATTTTTACAAGCTTACTTCAGATGCATTTGCACAGCTATGCTGCCACAGAAAGAAAATCTTGATTTATATGTCCAGCCTCAGTTATTCAACACCTCTTGATCACAGAATGCAATAAACATAATGAAATCAAACTGCAAGTTGAGGATGTCTAACAGAATTTGTTTCACAGTTTCAGAACAAATTCACTGTAGCTGCAAACCAGCAGCAGCAGCAATTTGCTTCCTAAATTATTCACTCTTCAGGCTGCCCTCAGCATTGACATACTTTTGATGAATTTGTTTGCTCTACTTTTGAAATACAGCACTCCTCCATATTATACTCTCTAGGACATCAATCTATAAAGATATGTTGCTTTAATTCCTCAAAGCTATCATTCCAGAAATTTAGTTAGGCTCCTGATTTCTAATGCTTCATATTGAATAAAACTTTTCCATGTTGGAAAGGTAACACAGCAGTATTTTAGATGATGTATGCCCAAGCATGTGCTAAGATGTTGTGTTAAATAAAAATAATAATGTAGTTTTGGCTGCCTGCATGAACAATTACATAATTTATAATCACAGAATCATTTAGGTTGGAAAAGACCTTTAAGATCATGGAGTCCAACTGTTAACCTAAAACTGCCAAGTCCACCTCTAACCCATGTCCCTAAGCACCACATCTACATGTCTTTTTAAATACCTCCAGGGATAGCGACTCAACCACTTCCCTGGGCAGCCTGTTTCAGTGCTTGACAACCCTTTTGGTGAATAAATTTTCCCTAACATCTAATCTAAACGTCCCCTGGCACAACTTGAGGCTATTTTCTCCCATTCTATCACTTGCTACTTGGGAGAAGAGACCAACACCCACCTCACTACAACCTCCTCTCAGGTAGCTGTAGAGAGCAATAAGGTCTTCCCTCAGACTCCTTTCCTCCAGACTAAACAACCCCAGTTCTCTCAGCCACTCCTCATAAGACTTGTGCTCTAGAACCTTCATTGCCCTTCTTCAGTCACGCTCCAGCACCTCAATGTCTTTCTTGTAGTGAGCGGCCCAAAACTGATCACAGGATTTGAGGTGTGGCCTCACCAGTGCCAAGCAAAGGGAGTCAATCACTTCCCCAGTCCTGCTGGCCAGACTATTTCTGAAACAAGCCAGGATGCTATTGGCCTTCTTGGCCACCTGGGCACACTGCTGGCTCATATTCATCCAGCTGTCGATCAACAGCCCCAGGTCCTTTTCTGCCCAGCAATTGCCTGGAGTTGTTGTGACCCAAATGCAGGACCCAGCACTGAGCTTTGTTAAATCCCATACAATTGGCCTCAGCCCATTGATCCAGCCTGTCCAGATCCCTCTGTAGAGCCTTCCTACCCATAAGCAAATCAATACTCCCATCCAACTTAGGGTTATCTGCAAACCCACTGAGGGTGCATTTGATCCCCTTGTCCAGATCGTCGATTATGATACTAAACAGAACTGGCCCCAATACTGAGCCCTGGGGAACACCACTTGTGGCTGGCCACCAACCCGATTTAACTCCATTCACCACAACTCTTAGGGCTCAGCCATCTAGCCAGTTTTTAACCCAGTGAAGAGTACACCTGTTCAGGCCATGAGCAGACAGTTTCTCCAGGAGAATGCTGTGGGAAATGGTGTCAAAGAATTTACTGAAGTTGAGGTAGACAACATCCACAGCCTTTCCCTCATCTACTGAGCAAGTCACTTTGTCATAAAAGGGGATCAGGTCAGTCAAGAAGGTCCTGCCTCTCATAAACCCATGCTGACTGGGCCTGATCACTTGGTTGGCCTGTACGTGCTGCATGATAGCACTCAAGATGATCTGCTCCATAACCTTCCTGGCACCAAGGTCAGACTGACAGGCCTGTAGTTTCACAGATCCTCCTTCTGGCCCTTCTTGTAGATAGGTGTCAAATTTGCTAACCTCCAGTTGACTAGGACTTCTCCAGCTAGACAGGACTGCCGATAAATGACTCAAGGTGGCTTGACGAGCACTTCTGCCAGCTCCCTCAGTATCCTTGGGTGGATCCCATCCAGCCCTATAGACTCATGTGTGTCTAAGTGGTGTAGCAGGTCACTAACCATTTCCCCTTGGATTATGGGGGCTTCTTCCTGCTCTCCATCCCTGTCTTCTAGTTCAGGGGGCTGG